GGATCATCTACTGCATCTGTTTCTGAGTTGCAGAATAACTGCAATATGTGAGTCCCTGAAATTTATGGCACAGTATTTGTACGAAATTCTTGGGCTGACAATATTGTGCCGTGTCTCTGTGTAATGGAGCCTAACTATTTTCATTTAGCACATATATGTCACTCTATGTTGTAAAGTTATTTTCTTAGCGATTCATTACACATTCCAGTTTTTACGTGGGTAATAATGATGAGCAGACCTAAATTAGGATAATTCCCGGATTTTCGTGTGAATAGTCCACACCATCTGCATAAATTCGGGCGACCGGCCACTAATCTCCTAAAATTTTGCGGGCCCATAAAAAATGACCTGATGAATAATAGTCATCGCTTCTCCATGACCGTTCCTCATTTTTTGGCGTTTAAAAGCCATAAAACATAAATCCAGAATGATTCCCAAATTTTCATGTGTTATAATCCACGCCATGTGCATGAATTCGGGCAATCGGCTCTGAATCTCCTAAAGTCTTGCAGGCCCGTCAAAAACGACCTAATGACCAATAATCATCACTTCGCCATGATTGTTCCTCATTTTTTGGACATAATAAGAAATCGACTTAATTATTAATTTATGTTTCATGGTCCAAAACTCTAAAACATGATAATAATCATAGTGAGTATTGCTCACAAGGCCGTACCTCGATGGATTCACCTGTTTTTAGGCCTAAGTCTAAGTCCATCAACCAAATTAGGTAAAATCATTAAGTATATAAACACGCGAAGAAATGGACATAAAATCATTCATTCTTGTTTCATGTGGCCGTGCATAGTATTCTCATGATCCCAAAAATTCTAAAAAAATTATTTGTCATGGTGTAGTATGCTCATACGGTCGTTTCGATGGATCCACTCACATATTTTGGCCATCGAAAGTCCGATCAACTAAATTTGAGGGAAAATCTCATGTATATAAAACATAGCGAAAATTAACAATGATTTAATTTCTGTTTCATGTAGCGCGCCTAGATAATTCTTATGGACTCCCAAACACTTTAAATATGAATGTTAGTCATTGTGATATGCTCACCAAAGTCGTATCCCATGGATCCACTAATTTTTTTAAACTAATCGGAGTCCATCAACCAAAACTCAGAAAAAATTATCACGTATATAACACACGAAAAATTGGATCATGCTCATTAATTTGGTGTTCATGACCCAAAAACCGCCAAAAAAGATGTTATCATGGCAAAGCAATGGTAATTAATCACTAGTTTATTTTTGATGGATCTTACAAATTCACGGCAATCGAAACTCCGATCACGTTTAAGATCGATGAGGATCAAGTGCGCGTTATATTGCCAAGGAGATAGATTTATATGGCCGTGCATAATATTCTTACGACCCTAAACACTAAATTACTAAAGGTACTTCTTGAAAAGAAAATACCACTCAAAGAAAAACAGAAAATATTTATCTTTTATAAAAAAGAAAGATATAAGACTCGAAATAGCAATGAAGTTTTTAGTACTAATTAGTAAGTAACCATTCAAACAATTTTCATAAACCTAATTATGGCAGATTTCCATATATTCTTTTTAATTAAACCAATTCCTTAATCCACAAGAATAGAAAGAAAAAATATATATATAATAAGCAATATAATTAAAGTAAAGAAAAAATTTACAAGTATTACTATTTCATTAATTTTCTAAACCTAATAATAACTATGACAGATTCATATTTCTTTTTACTTACAATTCCTTATTCCACCAGAATGAAAGAGCAACGTAACCTCGTGCACAAAAACTCATATTCCTTATTAACACGAAGAGAATTCGAATTAACTATCACCTCAGCACCCACTATATATATATATGATATATATATATATATTATATATATATATATATATATATATATATATATAATATATAATATAGATATTATATCCATGCACACCAATTATCACCTACGCAACTTAATTTTCTTCTTCTTCTCTTATTCATAACTTTTAGCCAATATGTCTACAGAAAAAAAGATGTTGATTCTAAAATCTTCCGATGGGCAAGAGTTCGAGGTGGAAGAGGAGGTTGCTGTTCAAGCACAAACAATCAAGAACATGGTGGTCGATGGTTGTGCTGATAGCGCGATTCCATTGCCCGTCGTTAGCAGCAAAATCTTGGCCAAAGTGATCGAATATTGGAAAAAACGCGCTAATGTGACAGCAGACTTTAACAATCAGCACGAGTTAAAAGAATTGAACGAAGAATTATTGAAAGAAGTTGAAGATGATTTAGAGATGTTGTTTGGTTTAATTCTTGCAGCTAATTATTTAGAGACAAAACAACTTTTGGATTTGTTGTGTGAAAAAGTTGCAAATATGATGAAAGGAAAAAGTCCAGAAGAAATACGTAAGAAATTTGGTATAAGAAATGATTATACCCCCGAGGAAGAAGAGGAAGTTCGTAGAGAGAATGCCTGGGCTTTTGAGTAATTTTTATTTTTATTTTGGTGGGCGGCTATTTAGGTTAATTCTTTTTTATATTTTTATTTTCTTTTTTCCCTTGTCTGCTTTTTTTTCTTTAATTATATTCGGCGTAAGTACAATTCAATGTTTGTCTAGAAAAGTAGTTCTTAATTTGTCTGCTTTGTTACCGTAAAATACATAAAAGTTTCAATTTTGTTACAATTGTTTAACTTTTAATTCGTAAAGTTAAGATTGTTACTTTTGATGGTTTGGGTTTTTTTACCTTATTAAATTAGATTTATACTTTATTGTTGAAAATGCTATTATTTGGTACTACTTATCCTTTATCTCTCCCTTTTCTTTTCTCTTACATCTTTCTTCCTTACTTGCTTTCCTCTTCTTCCTTCCTGAACTGAGGGTCTATTGGAAACAGCCTCTCTACCTGCATTAGATAGGGGTAAGGTCTCCGTACAGACTACCCTCCCCAAACGCCTCCTGTTGGGATCAAACCGGGTCTGTTGTTGTCTTGTTGTGAAGAAAATTGAGAGAAGAATTAGAGAAATTTTCTGTATTTTCTGAATGAATAATCTGTACAAAGGACAATGTATTTATACACATGTATTCCTAGAAAAGAAAACAAAAAATAAAAGAATAGCCTATTAGTTTTGTACACTTGCTCTAATATTACTAGTCTATGTCTAACAATATAACCAACTCATTATTCCTTCTTCAGATGGCATCTTGTGTGCATGTGAGAATCTTCTAGAAATTTAGTGTCCTTTGAATGGTTCACATTTAATCTATCATTGCAATATTCAACAGCTGAGATGAAGCCACGTTGTATCCCATGTGGCTTATTAGAGTCAAAATTAAGACTAAGTCTTAACTTTGTTTTGTCCGCTATTTGTTTATCTTTGAGCTTCAGCTTATCTTTGAGCGTCAACCTTAGGTCTTCTTCTTCATCATCTCTTTTCTATAAAAACTCAGATCGATGTATTCCAACATCCCCTCTCAAGTTGGAGGGGGTAGAAGACACCCCCAACTTGCCAAGAATCGATTTGTGATCAGGCCAGAGTTTGGTGAATAAGTCAGCAAGTTGCAATTTTGAGGGAATAAAAGAAAGAGAAATGAAACCGGAGAGAAATTGTTGTCGCACAAAGTGGCAATCGAGTTCTACGTGTTTAGTCCTTTCGTGAAAACATGGGATTCCGGGCGATATGGATGGCAGCTTGACTATCGGAGAAAATGGGAACCAGAATCGGAGGAGGAACTGAGAGATCTGTGAGCAAACGAGTCAACCATGTGAGTTCTGCAACTAGACGACGCATGGAGAGATATTCCGCTTCTGCGAAAGAGAGAGAGAGAGAAGCTTGTTTCTTGGATTTCCAAGACACCGGAGAGCCACCCAAACTAATAAAGAACCCACTAATGGAACGGCGACTGTCCCGGCAAGATGCTCAATCTGCATCGCAGAAAGCCAAGAGATCAAAAGAGGGATGAGCATTGAGAAACAGTCCTTGACCCGGGCTGGATCGAATATAACGAAGAACACACAAGGCAGCAGTGAAATGACCAATGCAAGGGCGTTGCATGAACTGGCTGAGAGTGAGAACGGCAAAGGAGAGATCTGGGCGTGTGTGAGTCAAATAATTGAGCTTTCCTACCAAGCGACGATAAAGAGAAGCATTAGTCAATGAAGGACCAGAATCAATAACTAATTTGGAAGATGGATCCAGAGGTGAAGAAACTGATGGGAGGTTGAAGCAGTCAAACTCGTGGAGCAAATCAATGGTAAATTTCCTTTGAGTAACAATCAGACCCTTTTGTTCTCGTAAAATTTTCATTCCTAAAAAATAATGAAGTGGCCCAAGATCCTTCATTTTAAACTCAGAATGCAAAAATGCTTTGAGGTCTGTCAATTCATCAATGTTATCCCCTGTAAGTAATATATCATCGACATATACTGCAACAGCAGAAATGAGATGTCCTGTTCTCTTAAAGAACAGAGAATAATCATTTAGGGAAGCAGAAAAACCCTTGAAACTTAGTGCTCCGGCAAGCCTGGCATACCATTGCCTTGAGGCTTGCTTCAATCCATAGAGACTTGTTAAGTCGACAAACATGGTTGAGGCTTGGGGAGGTTAAACCAGCAGGAAACCTCATATAAACCTCTTCTTGTAGCTCCCCATGTAAAAAGGCATTGCTCACATCAAATTGAGATATAGACCAACCTTTCTTGACAGCAATAGAAAGTAAACATCTGATTGTTGTCATCTTGACAACTGGAGAGAAGGTTTCTGTGTAGTCAATACCTTCTCTCTGAACAACACCTCTTATAACCAATCGTGCCTTGAGTCTTTCAATAGTGCCATCAGCATGTTGTTTGACTTTATAAACCCATTTACAGGGTAATGCCTTCTTGCCAGTAGGCAGTAGAACCACATCCCAGGTAAGATTCTCTTCTAAAGCCTTAAGTTCAGAGTTCATAGCTTGCACCCAACCTGGGTTAGAACAAGCCTGAGAGTAGGATGTGGGTTCTGTAATAGAGGAGACTGATTGGAGGAGATGTTGATTAGAACTAGTGAGGGCAGAGAAAGCAAATGGAGATGGGGAACAAGGAGAGGTGAGACAAGAAGTGGTGACATCAGTGAGAAAGATGTTGTTGAAAACATAATCCTTAAGATAACTAGGTAGAGTGCCTATATTATCTCTACTGGATCTCCTAAGGGGAACATGAGGGGAAGGAGGGATAGGTGAGGTAGAAGGAATAGGAGAGGGAGTAGACTGGTGAGAGGTGGAACTAGGTGAGTGATCAGGTGTAGGGAAGTCTTGTGGTACAGTGGAGTTTTGTTGTGTTGGAGCATCAGAGGTGAAGGGAGGTATAGGGAATGTAGGACCATGATGTACAGAAGAGAGATTATCTGGAGACATATGGGCAAAAGGAAAGGTGTGTTCAATGAAATGAACATCCCTAGATACAAAAAGGTTCCTTATGGTGAGGTTCAATAGCTTATATCCTTTCTGACCATTGGGATAGCCCATGAATACACATGCTGTGGCCCTAGGATCAAACTTCCCTCTGTTGTGCGACAAGGTAGAGGCATAACAAAGATAACCAAAACTTCTTAAGAAAGAATAGGAAGGTGGCTTACCAAACACCAAATGATAGGGAGTTTGACCTTTAAGCACTCTAGATGGAAATATGTTGATGAGAAATGTAGCTGTTAGAATACATTCTCCCCAGTAACATAGAGGCACCTTGGATTGAAAGAGGAGTGCTCTAGCAATTTCTAACAAATGTCTATGTTTCCTTTCCATAATCCCATTTTGCTGAGGAGTTCCCACACATGAAGTCTGATGCAGAATGCCTTGTGATAGTAGGAACAAGGAAGCTGTAGTGCTGCTTCCTAACTCTAAAGCATTATCTGACCTGATGACCTTGACTTTAGTGTTAAATTTTCTTTCCACCATGCTCAAAAAATATTTTAGAACTGAAAATGCACTACCCTTGGTGCTCAGTAGATAAGTCCAAGTTGCTCGACTGAAATCATCCACAATAGTGAGAAAATATTTGTATTCATCATGAGTAGAAGTCCTATAAGGACCCCATGTGTCAATGTGTATTAATTCAAAAGGTTGCTTAGTTTTGATATGACTGAGTGAAAATGGTAATCTAGACTGCCTTGCTAATGGGCATATATCACAATGACACACAGAATCAGGAACAAATAAAATGGAACTGATATATTTTCATTGCATTGAAAGGAAAATGCCAATCTTACATGCCAGAGTTTTATATCAGATTCTGTTTTTGCTAAGATAGGAAAAGAAAAAGAAGCTGAAACTGAATTAGAAAAAGATGCAGGCAATAAAGATGTAACAGTTTTGGAAGATAGAATCCTAGGTTCTGTGACAGTAGGCTCCAATGAGTAAAGTCCCTCCTTAGCTGCACCAAAAACTTGAGGGCTCTTCATGAGAGGGCCCTGCAAAATACATCCAAAAGAAGTGAAAACTAAGAGACATTTGAATCTTTGACAAAGCCTACAAACTGAGAGTAAGTTATACTTGAAACTAGGAATGTGAAGAACATTTTCTAGAACTAAACCTGGAAAAATAGAAACACTCCCAGCACGAGTAACCTTACCCTAGAAGAAATTAGGTAATTTTACCATTAGAGGAAAAGGTAATGGTACTAAGAATAAGAATGTGTTGGCATTAAAACACATATGCTCAGTTGCCCCTGAATCTATAGTCCATGAGTTGGAGAGGTTAGAATTAGAAACTGAATAACAGGATGGAGAATTAGTAAACAATATACCAGAAGCAGAATTTGCATTAACTTCTTGAGGAGCACCCTGTCCTGTTTGAAGTTGATTCAGAAGATTAACCAATTGACTGAATTGATCAGATGATAGCTTCTGAGATAATTGAGGTCCTTCTGCCATGTTGCTATGAATTTCCCCTGTATCTTCTGCTACAGTAGCTGAATTCCCTTTTGGAGGATTTTGAACCCTTTTGTTTTTAGTAAATTTGAAATCAGCAGGAAATCCCACAAGTCTGTAACAGTTATCAATTGTGTGATTAGTCATCTTACAGTAGGAACATATCTGTGTGTTTTTCTTTCCTTTGTGTGCAAGGTTTCCTTTATAGGAAGTGTTTCCATTCTTCTGCTGAGGGATGAAATGAGATCCTGCAGGGTTCTGATAATTCTGAGGTCCTTGGTTTTTCACCATGAAAGAAGCACCATTTGTTGGAAATTGAGAACTGACATGGATTTCCCTTTGATTCTCATCTTGCATGAGAAGTGAGTATGCTTGATTGACTGAAGGTAGTGGTTTAACCATGAGTATGTTGCTTCTAGCCAGTCCATAGGTCTCATTCAATCCCATGAGGAATTGAATGAGCCTCTCATCTTCCTTAAATTGTTGCATTTTCTTCTTGCCACCACAATCACAGTTGCATGAGCACTGCATATCAGAGTTGAGAGTGTCTAATTCATCCCATAGTCGCTTCATTCTAGTGAAATA